CTGGGCCGGTTCAGTCGCAGATGTGAACAGTACTCAGTAGTCAAGTTGTTGCCTTTGACGTTTGTTATTTGATGTGGACCCCAAGGCTGATACCTTCCAAGTCCAAACGCAGTGAAGCTCAAATATAATATATATATATATATATATATATATATAAGTAATGAAATCAGGCCAAAGTCTCCCGGTTAGACACCTATCTTTCCAAACCCTGAAACAAATTAGACAAGTATCTTATTCGTTGTCTTTTAATAAAGCCATTTAATATGCATAGTGGAGTTTTCACAATGTAGTGTGGTGTGAAGTGGGAACATCCCACTTTCAATCCTTTCCTAAAAAAAGGAAAATGAAAATTTAAGCAGATTAGTTCAGGAAATAGGTAACTCAAGCATGAATTAACAAACAAATTGTAAATTAATGCAATTGAAAATACCAACCTTTCTGCACAGAAATCTGCAACCGAATGATATCTGAAACTCAGAGAACTTCACTAACCCTTCATTCCGTTAGTGCAGTAAACCTTTATTAAATCTAAGAATACATGTTTCTTCACTTTTAGTAAACCTAGCATAAGTAGATTATCCAAAGTGAAGTTCGAATATTATTTAGATTACTGTTCAACTTCAGAGAAACTAAAACTGAACATTGTCTACAACCGAACAGTATCAACAAGCAAACAGAGACTGCAATGTCAAAGAAACTGATTGTATTAAGTTAGTTAAATTACCATCCTTGCTATTTTATTAATGTTAGAGCATTTAGTTGGCATTTTTTCGGTTTGCTGCGTTCTGTTCATGAATTAGGATTTAGTTGATTATTTTTCAGATTTGTAGTTCGTTATATGTTCATATTCTTTAGAAACTACTGGCGATCATCGGCCATGTACTGTCTTCTCCTCCGGCAGTTATACAAGCCTTTATGTTTAAAAAAAACAATTCTGGTGTACTGAAATCTCCCCTAGCAGTAAAACTTCTGATCAATTTCAATTTTTATTGTTCCATTTATTTTATCTTATGTTTTTTTTTTCAAATGGGTGGCAAACCACCACTTTATGGGTTTGTTGATTTACTTTCTATTCGTCCTCTGAGTTTGTCGCTCTAACGAGCGAACAAATTAATATTGGGTAAAGATGGTGATTAAAGCAGGTTTTCGGATCGGGCTATTAAATGGTCCAATTTTGTATTACTTAAACACGGCACTGTTGAGGACCGGCCCAGGATTTATAATTACTATTAATTACTGTTGTGGGTCGGGCTATTTAATTACTATTAATTACTGTTGTGGATTGGGCTATTTAATTATTGTTAATTACTATTAATTACTGTTGTGGGCCGGCTATTTAATAACTGTTAATTACTATTTAATTACTGTTAATTACTAAAGTAATAGTAATTAATAATTTATAATTAATTAATTACATCTATTAGTCACTAACAATAATTAAATACTGATAATTAAGAACACAAATAATAATAATTGTTTTAAAGTAATGATATTATTAATTACTCATAATTAATGATGTAATCTTATTATTAATTACTGATAATTACGTAAGGTTATTTGTTAATTACTAATTGTTTTACGTAATGTTATTATTAATTACGTGATATTATTATTAGTTACTGATAATTACATAATGTTATCCATTAGCATTGTAAATATTATTGTCATTAAATTTAACAATATAATAACATAATAATACAATTATCAATTAAATTGTTTCATTATCAGCTTGGTATTCATTAAATTGTTTAATTATTACTTCATTAATTAATAGTAATAATAATAATAACAGGAAATAAATTATAAACTACCATTTTTAAGACACTAATACAATCTTGGGTCCACATAAATTGACTCTTATATGTCAAACCCGTAAAATTATACGGGTCATTAAATTCAACTTGAACCGTTCATTACTTTAATTTAATAATTCATATTATTATTATTAATTTATTTGAGTAGTTAATTTAAATTTGTTGTTATTGGGTAATAATATTAACTATATTTGTAGTTATTTAAATATTTACTTAAAATTTTTTTTTCCAACCAAGTATAATTACTATATAATAGATTTGTTAATTCATATTTCGCATTTATGAATAAACATTAATGGTTTGGCTTAAAAAATTTAATTATTATTAATAAATATTGATTCTTATTTAAGGTTTAAATACTATATTTGGTAATTATTATGGGGCCCACTTTGAATAAACATTAATAATAACTGATGATTCTAATTTCGTTTTAATATATATATATATATATATATTAGTGTTAGTGTTAATTAATTACTGTTAAATGTAATTAAATGTAATTTTATGCTATTTATAGCTTAACTTATAATTACTGTTAAAAATCATTTAGTTACAGTTTTAAAAATATATTATCTTTAAAAAACAATGTATTTATTAAAAATTACTGTTAATTGTTGTATGTTGCACAGTTAAAATTAAATGCAATTTTCTGGTAATTAAAAAATAATTACAGTTAATTGTTGTATGATGCACTGTTAATTACTATTATTTAAATAAAAATATATTATATTGTATGATGCAATGTTAAATAATACTGTTTTTCTAATAAATATTATTAATTATTTATAAATACTGTAATTATTAAAAATACTGTTAATTAATAAATACATTACCGTTAATAAATGTTGTTCAATGTAATTTATTAAAGTTTAAAATAATTACTGTTAATTAATAAATACAATATTGTTAATGTATTTATAGTAATTTTTTAAAATACTATAATTATCAAAATACTGTTAATTACATTTTAAAATACTGTAATTATATTTACTGCTAATTACAATTTAAAAATAATTCATTTACAATTTAATTACAGTTAATTGTTGTTAATTAGTATCTTAAAATTTAATCTGTTAAATTTAAAAGCATATTAAAAATAATTACTGTTAAAAACATATTAAAATTTAATAACTGTTAAATTTGAATAGTCCAAATTCGTTTAACATAAAATACTGTTGTGGTCTGGCCCACGAGTTCAGTATCTGACCCGGTTTAATTAAATTCAACTCAAAACGTTTTAATTAAATATGAACTTATATGTCAAACCTGTAAATTTATACGGGTCATTAAATTCAACTTGAATCGTTTATTACTTTAATTTAACCATTCTTATTCTTATTCTTATTATTATTAATTTATTTTAGTATTTAATTTAAATTTTTTGTTATTGGGTAATAATATTAACTAAATTTGTAATTATTTAAATATTTACTTAAAATATTTTTTTCCAACCAAGTATAATTATTATATAATAGATTTGTTAATTCATATTTTGCATTTACGAATAAACATTAATGATTTGGCTTAACAATTTTAATTATTGTTAATAAATATTGATTATCATTTAACGTTTAACTACTGTATTTGGTATTTATTATGGGGCCCACTTTGAATAAACATTCATGATAACTGATGACTCTTATTTTTTTTAATATATATTATATTAGTGTTAATTAATTATTGTTAAATGTAATTTTCTGGTAATGAAATGTAATTTTATGCTATTCATAGCTTAAATTATATTTACCGTTAAAAATCATTTAGTTACAGTTTTAAAAATATATTATTTAAAAAACAATAATGTATTAATTAAAAAATAATTACTGCTAATTTTTGTATGATGCACTTTTAATTATTTTTAATTAAATGCACTTTTTGTTAATTAAAAAATAATTATTGGTAATTGTTGTATGATGCGCTATTAATTACTGTTATTTAATTAATAAATATATTATACTGTATGATGCACTGTTAAATAATACTGTTTTTTAATAAGTATTGTTAATTATTTAAAAATACTGTAATTATTAAAAATACTATTAATTAATAAATACATTACTGTTAATAAATGCCGTTCTTTATAGTAATTTATTAAAACACTGTAATTATCAATAATAATTACTGTAATTTTCAAAATACTGTTAATTACATTTTAAAATACTGTAATTAATTACTGCTTATTACAATTTAAAAATTATTTATTTACAATTTAATTACTGATAATTAAGAACAAAAATAAAAATAATTGTTTTAAAGTATTAATATTATTAATTACTCATAATTAATTCAGTAATGTTACTATTAGTTACTGATAATTACGTAATTTTATTATTAATCACGTAATGTTATTATTAATTACTGATAATTATGTAATGTTAATCATTATCATTGTATATATTATTATCATTAAATTTAACAATATAATAATATAATAATACAATTATAAACTAAATTGTTTAATTTTCAACTTGGTATTAATTAAATTGTTTATTTTTTACTTGACTAATTAAATAAAATATTTAATTACAACAAATTAATTACTTCGTATTAATTATAAAATATTTAATTACTATTACTATTATTATTGTAATCTTATAATTATTTCTGATTTTATAATTAGTATAATATTAATAGTAATTTAATAATACTAATTGTTTCTTCTTCTTATTTTTTTATGCAAAAGTCCAATAATTTTTCATTTTCAATACTAACTATTTTTTCTCTGATTTAGTTTTCCAAAATATAAAAAAAATAAATTAAGAATTCAGTTCACTAGTTAATCCTAAAAAAATAGTTACATTAACTTAGGAAAAAGAAAAAACTTTTAAGCTTGATCGCTGTTTGACTCAATGTGCACTGGTGATGAATGATGCACCAGATCGACGGTATTCAAGGCGCTGTACGGCTTAGTGCAAGATGGTTTTTTTGAATGACTTTTATACTAATGAATCCCTTTTTGTCTTCTTTCGATCCCAGTCTTTGGGTCGTAGATTTCTCATTTCTGGGCCCACAGTGACTCGGGCGATATTCAGGAGGTAGATGTAGATCCCGCCGAGTCTCAGTGTCGGACCAATGAGATCCGGATCGGGCGATCCGATATCGGCAAATGGCAAGTTCGTTTTGGTCGTTTGGTTCTTCCGTCTGTCTTCTTCGTCACTGTTTATCTCTTCCTTTAAAAGCCCGATGGCCAACATGACAGAGCTTTGAAGCAAGGTAGAGTGGGACTGTGAGAGGGGAGACTTCTAGAGAGAGAGAGAGAGAGAGAGAGAGAGAATATGAGCGAACTGGGTACTACAACGCCGGGCGGTAACGCATCGTCTCCTCCACAAGCTCTCCTTGAGAGGCTCAAGGATTATGGCCAAGAAGACGTTTTCTCCCTCTGGGACGAACTCTCTCCAGAAGAACGGGAGCTTCTCGTCAAGGATATCGAGGTATGATTCACATTATAAACGCATTTTTTTCGAATTCATGCAGATCTTTTAACTCTCGATCCCTGCAATCTGATTCCGCTACTTCATGTTCGATTTGCATTTTTAAGATCTTTCTTCTACATATGCTGCATTGCTACTTTTGATTTGATTCGAACTGAGTTATTTTTCAGTTTGTTAAGTCAGATTTGTGCTCTAATTAGTGTGTTTTCGGCTGCATATTGAGTAATTCGAAGGTTTACATAACTAAGTGGGAGAAATGTGTTTGATATTTTTCGGAATTTCAAGTTAAGAGGAACTCTGATTTGTTTCTATTGGATTTGTTTTCCTCAGAGCTTAGATCTTCCAAGAATAGATCGGATAATTCGGTGCTCACTTCGATCTCAAGGTGAATTTCTTTTTTTCTTCTTTATTTTTGAAGTATTCGAAGTTGTATTTTTTTTTTAAATTAGTTTAGATCGTTGTTTCCTGATCCTTTTTCAAATCTTTTGGGGCGCATTCAGGACTTCCCATACCGGCAATTGAGCCTGTTCCGGAGTCTTGTGTATCGACTGTCGAAGAGCGAACACTTGAGGAAAGAGAGAGATGGTGGAAGATGGGCCTGAAAGCTATCTCAGAAGGGAGGTTGGCAGTGTTGCTTCTCTCTGGAGGGCAGGTGCCATTCTTGTTTCAATTAGTTGGTTACTGCTTGATTTGAGGTTTTGCATTTTAGCACAGCTGATCCACACATGCATACGCATAATATGGCATTGATCTCGTTTTTCTTAATTAATAAGTAGATTGTAGGATATCATTGTCTTTCTTGGATCATCTTTCTGATAAATAGCCACACATAACAACTTCGCTTAGAATTATATCTTTCTGCATGTGAATAAAGGAAAAAAGAGGAAGAAAAGTATTAATTATTGTTTTCCTTTTTAGTTGGCACCAAACAAATATAGGCACACTATTGAATAATGCTCCAATAAGTTCTTCAGTTTTTTCCCAACTGGAACCTGTTCAGATTTGAGTCGGCAACTGAAGCTCATTTAAGCTTGAGAGAGATGGTACAAATGCATGCAACTTAAGGAATTCAGGAATACATGTTTAGGCCTTTGATGATCTGAAAAAATGGAAAATGCCAACTGCCTTACCTTTTAGAGATAAGAGTATAATTACATTATCTTTGTTTGTTTTATATTAGGACTTAGGTGGTCTCTGATATATAATTATCCAGTTTTTCAGTTATATCTGTTGAAGATATGAACTGCTTCAAATCATGGCCAGAGATTTAAGTAAGGAATGTTGGGCCTTAAACCCAGTTCCATAGGTATTGGAAGCCAGGCCAAGTATGTATTGTTAAATATCACTATTGTTTGAGAAACAACAAAGTAATTTCTAAATTATGATGAAATTCTGTTCTCTCTCTCTCTCTCTCTCTCTCTCCCTTCCTCCCTCCCTCCCTCCCTCCCTCTAAATTATGATGAAATTCTGATTTTTCTCTTTCTTTTTGGTTGCTTTCCTGCAACTATTTTTTTTCTCAAAGTTCTGATAAAGATATCAGATTACAGTCCTGTCCTATCTTGTGAGTGGCCCATGTATAAACTAGCAATTGCTAGCTACTTGGGAGTAGAACTAGTAGGTGGGGTGGGGTATGGTATTAGTAAAATGCAAAGTGGGTTCTTTTGATTGTGATAGGCTTTCCCCCGGTACTCTTGATGCAATGACTATTTAGTCCAAGGTTAGACTTTTCTTTATTTCTGATCAATAATGATGAATTTATAAAAATAGGAGATGTGGTTTCAAATAATACACTTCTTAATCAATTATTATAATAAAAACGAGATTAAGGAAATATGTTGGAGAATTTAAATTTATTTTTTCCTAAAAAGACTAGTAAAATTCCTAATCCAATTAACTAAGGCTAAGTTATTTTAGAAATTATAAAATTTGAGAAGAGGACTAAGGAGACATGGGTCTCTCTCTCAATTCTGCTTTACAAATTGAAGGAAAAAACCCAATAAATTACATATTCAAAAAGAAAAAAAAAGAAACATATGAGACTATTTATTCCTCTCTATCTCAATTTATATTGCCTTCGAAGAAACTGGAAGAAAAAAGATATGAGATATTTATTTAATATCCATCCTCAATTTCAGATTAAGGAAAAGGGGGACAAATGATGCAAAAAGAATTATTGCTTTTCATCCAAGAGTAAGATCCCTCAACTCTCTATATGGGAATTTGAGGATAATATTTGGTCCCCATCAAAATTGATGTTATAGGTATCTAGATATATAGATATATATCGCTTGCCTTTTGATGTAATACTTACCTTTTTCAATAAATACTGTGGGGAATATGTTATAGTGTATGATTCTAGTTTAGTAGTTCTGTTCATTTTCTTTCTATTTTTCTAATTTTATTCTTTAGCTCATTAGTTGTTGTACCTTTGTACTTAAATACCCATTATGCTTTTCTTTGTATTAGATTGAGTGATTTTGCCATTTTTACTCATAATTGAAATGTGAATGCAGGGGACACGGCTTGGTAGTTCTGACCCCAAGGGATGTTTTAGTAAGCAACTAATCTGACTACTTGATTACTTAAACAATGTCCTAGAACTAAATTCTCTTGGTTGACAGTTCTTATCTTAATATGGAACACACTTGAATCAATTTGGATATGCATCATGGAAGATGCTTGTAGAAATGGAAAATTGAAAAAAGAATACTGTGTACCATATCATGTAAGAATTCAAGGATCATCAGTTCATTAGTGTAGAGAACACTGATGTGGACCCACTGATGTGGTCCCCACTGTGTTCGTATGGCAGTAATATTTCAGTTAGTTATGACAGTGTATTAGTTGGTAGTTATTTCAGTTTTTATTATTAGTTTTCTTTTATTCTTTTTGCCATGTAAGCAATAAGGGAAATTCAGCCCTTTTACAGTTAGTCAAACATTTATATAAATCATAAGAATGGGTCGGCAGAAGTTATGACCCTCTCTCTCTTCTTCTGAATTACTCTTCGTGTACTTCTTCTCTTCTTCTCCTCTCTTCTTCTCCTCTTCAAATTAGTATTTGTTTCTTTTTAAATCCAAGACAGATTGTAGTCTTGATCGACTATTTGGTATCAGAGCCGACCTAGGAGTTCTTATGCTAGTCTAATTAAGCCGACTACATGAGAACTTCCTAGGTTTGGAAGTTTTTCAACAGAGAAGGTGGATCGGCTGATTCTTGGAGGTTATTGGCAGTAAGCGGCTGCGATTAAGGAGATTGTAGAAGCCTGGGAGAGTTCCAATGATCAAGAAGAATCAGAAGAAGCTTCAGATCCTCAAGATTAGGGTTTTGCATCAATTAGAAGGTGGCGGCCAGAAATTTTTCATAAAGTAAGCCTTTTTCCTTGAGATCGACTTTAGAAAAGATCATCTTGGTTTATTCCGAGAGGTGCGGCTGGAAAATCTTTGCCTTTTCACCTGTGTTTTTTAGGGTTTTGAGAGAAAACCCTAAAATTCAGAACTGTTGTTGGTTTCAGATCAGAATTTGGATTTGTTTCATTCAGAACTGTGTTTTTTGTTCTTTGGAAGACCTAGGCCGGCTGTTATCAATTGTTTGGGTGCTGTTTCTCTTATTACAGTAGTTAAAAAAAAGGTTTTTTATTAATTCTTGATCAAGAATGGAGTTCAAGAATCAAAGGGAAGGTGTTTTTGGGACTAGTAGTTCAGGTAACATGCCTGAGAATACCTTTCAGATTACAACTGTTAAGTTTGATGGATCAAACTATTTAGAATGGGTTCAATCGGCCGTGATGGCCATTGGGGGTAGAGGAAGCTGAACTACTTGTTGGGAGATGTGAAGGAACCACCTAAGGAGGACCAAACTTGTACCAAATGGGTTCAGGAGAACTATTTGGTTATGACAGCTGTGCAACTCTATGCAGCCACATATCAGCTGAAACTATTTGTGGGCAAAAACAACTAACGAAATCTGGGATGTCATGAAAGAGAACTACTCCCAACCCCTTAACATTGCTAGAGCCTATGAGCTGAAATGTGAGGCTAACAACCTTAAGCAAGAAGAGAAACCAGTCTCGGTTTACTTCTCTACCTTGAAATCTTTGTGGCATGAAATTGACCACCTAGAAACACTTGAGTGGGAAAGTCAAAAGGATGTACAGAATCATAGAAAGCAGGTTGAAACTAATAGGGTTTTTGAGTTCTTAGCTGGTCCGAATCCTGAATATTATATTGTGAGACAACAACTACTAACAAGAGACAGTGTGACCCTATCACAAGCCTACTCCTTAGTGCATAGTGAAGAGACTAGGAGAAAGGTTATGATGCGACATCAGCCCTTCTAACCAGCCTTGGCAGCAGTTAAACCTAAGTCTGGGGGTGATACGGAGAGGGATATAAAGAAGGAAGACAAGTGGGATTTGGTATGTGAACATTGCAAGAAACCTAAGCATATTAAAGACACCTGTTGGAAGCTACATCCTCATCTAGTTCCAACAAAACTCAGGAACAAAAGGCACACCTCTAGACACCCTAGCTGCTGTCTGGGCTGCCCTAACTCAGTTGGAAAAAGAAGTTGGCAATTCAGCTCAATCATCTTAGCTGTCATCAGCTCTTCCAACATCAACTTTTGCTCATTCGGGTACTCAGGCCTCAGCTTATCATGCTTTAGCTCCAAGTAACACTGAACATTGTTGGGTAATAGACTCAAGTGCATCTGACCATATGACTGGCTTGCCATCACTGTTTACTACCTATCACTTATCTTCTGTCTGAGATAAAGTGTCCATTGCTGATGATTCCCTTGTTACCATTTCTAGCAAGGGAGACATCAAGTTGTCTAATACCATTTCCTTATCTTCAGTTTTTCATGTTCCTAAACTTAGTACTAACTTGCTTTCAGTCAGTAGCATTACTAAACACCAGAATTGTTCAATAACTTTTTTTCCTGACCGATGTGTTTTTTAGGACTTAGAGACAAAGAAGGTGATTGAGACTGGCCATGAGACGAATGGGATCTATTTGCTTGGAGAGAGTTCTCATTGGGAAGATAGTGAAGATAGGAAGTCTTTTGTTTCTTAGTTGGTTAGTCAGGTTATGCTTTGGCATGATCGGTTGGGTCGTTTATCTTTTTGCTCTTTGAAGAGTTTGTTTCCTAATTTATTTGAGTATGTTCAAATGTCCAGTTTGAGATGTGAAAGTTGTGAGCTTGCAAAGAATTGTAAAACATCTTATTCATTGAGTAATAAAAGAAGTAGTAATCCTTTTGATATTGTGCATACCGATGTTTGGGGACTTTATCATATCACTTCTATGGGGGGATACAGATATTTCTTATTGCTTGTTGATGACTATACTCGTTTTTCTTGGGTTTACCTTATGCGTTCTTGAGATGAGGTTCCTGCTTTGACCCAGATCTTTCATCATATGATTTTAGCCCAATTTGGGGTCAAAATTAAAATCTTCAGATCCGATAATGCGAAGGAATACTTTGCCAACACATTAGTCTTTTATTTGCTTGATCATGGGATTATCCACCAAAGTACTTGTCCTCGTACACCATAGCAGAATGGGGTTGTTGAGAGAAAGAATAGGCACATATTGGARGTGGCTAGAAGCATYATGTTTAACTCCAATGTGCCTATTCGTTTCTGGGGAGATGCTATTCTTATAGCAGYGTATCTCATCAATAGAGTTCCTTCACGGGTTCTTGATATGAAACCTCCATTTACCCTTTTATATCCTGATAAGGAATTGTTTACTATTCCCCTTAAAACCTTTGGTTGTACTTGCTTTGTTCAGATTCTTGGTCCTCATCGTTCCAAATTTGATCCTAAGGCCTCCAAATGTATTTTTCTCGGTTATGCACAAACTCAAAAGGGATATTACTGCTATGAACCCATTTCTGGGAGGAGATTTGTCTCTATGGATGTTACCTTCTTTGAGGATGTACCCTATTATCCTCGGGTTTCTCCTTAGGGGGAGAGTAGTGAGTGTGGGGTTAACTCATCAAAAGTTCCTTTACCTATTCCATTGAGTGATGAGGGATGTAATGGGGAGGGTTGTCAGAGGTGTTGGGATTTGAGAGTTTATCACAGGCGGTGGAGGCAGGTTGATTTCGGTCATCAGCAGTCCAAGCCTGCCCCAGTTCCTTCTACAAATCCAGATCCAGGTACCACAATCCCTTTATCAGATTCAGGTTCCACTGAGATACCTTCCACTGTTGAGCCCTTACCTCCATTGGATGACTTTGACCTCCCCATTGTAGTCCGTAAAGGCAAACGGCATTACACCACATCCACAACCCACTACATTTCCCAGTTATTGTCTTATGATCACCTCTCCCCTTCTTACAAGTCCTTTCTTGCATTCATTGCTGATATTCCTATCCCCAGAACAGTGTAGGAAGCCTTGTCAGTTCCTGAGTGGAAAGATGCAATGAAGGTTGAAATGGATGCTCTTTTAAGGAATAATACTTGGAAGCTAGTTGACCAGCCTAAAGGGAATAAACCAGTTGGATGTAGATGGGTGTTTACTGTGAAACATAATGCTGATGGTTCCATTGAAAAGTATAAGGCCTGACTAGTTGCAAAGGGATTTACTTACACTTATGGTATAGGCTAGTTGGAGACTTTTGCTCTAGTAGCAAAGATGACCACTGTTTCTACTGTAGCTACAGTAGTCCGAACCAGTAAGGAGAAGAAGAAAGAGAAGGAGAAGAAGAAGAAGAAGATGAAAGAACTGTCGAACCTTATAGCTAAACCCTATCAATCGACCTCTTAATAGTGATTAGGCTTCTAATTAAATGTACAAGGACTAAACTACCCCTACTTAAGTATGGA